TTCAGTTAATAATAAATTGAAATATCGTGAAGGCTCTGGTTCAACGGGAGGATTCTTTGATTAAACTGTGCCATCACAAAACAGAATTAGCAGTTTTAGTACAGATTTTGGGCGTGTTAACCCATTAAGCGCCAGCGCTCTCCCCTTGACGAGTAAAATCGTCTGGCGTTAGACAGAGTAAAATACTCTGGCGTATTTAATGCGGCCCAATGGGTTAACTAGACACATGGGCAGATAGATCAGTTAACCCATTAAGCGCCACCACTCTCCCCTTGACAAGTAAAATCGTCTGGCGTTAGACAGAGTAAAATACTGTTCAAAGTAGGGTGCATCAGGGTGCAATGCGACCCAATGGGTTAACTAGACACATGGGCAGATAGATCAGTTAACCCATTAAGCGCCAGCACTCTCCCCTTGACGAGTAAAATCGTCTGCCGTTAGACAGAGCAAAATACTGTTCAAAGTAGGGTGCATCAGGGTGCAATGCGACTCAATGGGTTAATATAGTACATAACATAGGTCATAGACATACAGTTTCAATACAATACAAAATGATTTTGAACAACGTCAAGGTCAATGAAATCATACAAAATGAATTTATGGAATATCAACTAAATGTATTTAAAACAAACATAATTTCAACATCCCAATAAGCAATAACATCCCAGTAAGTATAAATTCAACTATTTTAAATCAATTGTTTGAATAGCCAAATTAAAAGTTGTATGAGTGTCAAAATCATTCAATAATATTCACATTTTATCATTTGTATTATGTGTCAACTATCAAAGTCGCACTGTTAAGTATATTAAAATATACTTTTCATAAGATTAGATGTAAGATATAATTGTACGAAGGTAACTGAGGAACGACGATGTGTAAGACAATAAATCATACATACAGTGAAAAACGCTCTTTTTGTAGCACATCCTACATGTACATATTGGCAGCATTTTCCTTGCGATAGTAACTCCTAGTATACATTTTTAAACCGAACTATAGCCAGGCTCTCTATACTAGCAGGAATCAGCGGCTCCTGCGCAGCGCTCGGTTCCTGACAGATGGCCTATAAGGCTATGGCGGCTATATATAGCTGCATTTTTCGCAACTGCTCGTGCCGTCGTGGTATAGGTCAAATGTATATAAATTTGCGTTCGAATATTCCATCTACGAGAACCCTTGAACATGTAATGATTTTTATTATATAGTAAAGAGTGAGATACTGAAAAATACACAGTGAGGTGAAGATATGGATCACGTGACTTTTAGTATTTATACAATTTTTTGCTTGGGACTATGTAAACAGGACATTACACGGCGGCTTGAAGATATTATGACTTTTATCTTCTCGTGTTAAAAACAATATTTTACTCACTCGTTCGTAAAATATTGTTTTCACCACTCGAAGATAAAAGTCATATCTTCGCGCCGCCGTGTAATATCCTTTATATATCCATCACTCCATTTCTTTTAAAAAAATATTTGGATTTGTACACTTTTGTTTTTCAAGGCTCGTTCACACGAACAGACTTGTCGAATCCGATTCTGAATGCCTTTTCAGACGATCCGATTTTACGGCCGGCGTTCAACCCGGTGTAAAAGCCCGGCATTCAACTCAGTGTAAACTGAACTCTGTGTGAAAACCCGGTGTAAAAACCCGGTGTAAAAACCCGGTATTTGACTCGGTGTTTAACCAGTGACAGGTCTGGGGATAGTAGACTTTCTTCTTGTTGCCCGAACTGAGAAATAGAAAAGGTTCTATCCTTCGATTCGATTTTCAGACTGACGGATTCGAATATCACTTTTCATGGTGTTCACGTCATCCCCATGTGAACGTGCGAACAGATCATGTGAAGGCGCATTTACAAACTTACAAAAGAAATATTGTTACTATTTAATATCACTTTTATACCCCATTTCTGATCATAAGTAATTTTCAGTATATAATAATCATAAGTAATTCAACATACAAATCTGATAACAATAAATAGATAAGAGCTGTGTTAATAACTTAAGTTTTGAAATTTTGTTTATATAGTGTAGTGGAAAAACACAAAGTTTCAAAGTCAACAACACGAGATTCAATATGTCATTATGTCTCATCATTCCTTTTCATCGTCGGCAGTTAATGCAAAGATGACCTCTTCGTTGACTTCCGTTTTTGGCACACGGGATTTAAATACACCGAACGATTCTAATGAAGCTTTTGTGCTTGTTGTAGGACTAGCAATAGTGCTTTCATCAGTCTTCACCTGCACCGGTTTGTGAAAATGTTCGGGCGTTTTAGGTGAACTAGGCAAACTGACTGATTTTGGAAATGGTGGCCCTGGGAATGAGAATGGTAAGTAAGGGTTGGCAGAAAGTGCATCATGTCGTAGATTTTGATAAGACATGCTATCAGTAGGGTCGCCATAGTTGCGGTAACCTAATTGAGGAATATAATAGTTTCCATGGAATTGCATGAATGCTTTCTGTGCCATGGTGTTAGAGGGTGTAGGTGTCTTATGATCTTGTAACGGCGTCGTTGTTTTGTAATATGGTGTATGTTGCCAGGGATTTTGCAACGGTTCACTTGGAACTTCCAGGTTATAGAACTCTTTACTTTCTGGTGTCTGAACGATTGTATTGTTCTCTTCAATTGTGCTCGCTGGTACCCATGGTTTACTAAATATTATGGGGTGTGAGGCCATATTGATAAAAGTTGGACCATGGTTGACAAATGGTTTGACAAAAGGCATAGAGACATTCTTCCCAACGGTGGGATTGTTGAAATACGGGTTATAAGGTTGGGAAATTGGTAGGCTTGGATATAAAGAAAATCCTGGTATGGTGGGGACGTAATTTTGTTGGATGATTGGTTTTGAACCTTTTGGAGTTGGAAGTGGGAGAGCAGCTGAAGTGATTGGTTGTTTTAATGGTGTAGATTTCTTCCTTTTTACATCCACTACAGATTGATAAAAAAGAATAACATGAGCATGTATGGCGTTAAAGGCACAGTTCAGCCTTTTGAATGACTGAATTACAATCCTTTTAATTGAAAAAACTAACTAGGAAAAGCAATTAAGCATAATTCAAAATCAGTGAACTAAATGTTTTTAACATTTTTTTAACATTTTTATTATTAAAAATATTGAGTTCACTGATCTTGAGTTATGCTTAATTGACTTTCCTAGTTGTTTTTTTTTTCAATGAAAAGGGTTGAAATGCGCCTTAAAAACCATCATTGAAAAGGCTGAACTGTTTAATAACTTGCTGACTGTTACACACGTAAAAACTCACAAGTTGTAACAAGCCTGCAGCAGACTTGTTTCAATGCTGTTCCAACAACTTGTCAACAGGATGTGTTCGCACTGCTTGCTCCCAGCTTGTTGACAACTTGCTACAAGGTTGTTGAGCTCAACAGACGTGTTACAAGTTGTTTCAACAACTTGTTATCGTCCTGCAATTCAACAACTTGTCAACAAATTGTGAGTGACAACCTTGTAGCAACTTGATAAAATGACAGCATTGTTGCGACTTGTTGACAAGCTTGCTACAAGCCTGTTGCGAACACATCATGTTGACAAGTTGTGAGATTTTTACGTGTGTAGGCCACACACGTAAAAACGCACAAGTTGTTACAAGTCTGCAAACAAGTTGTTACAAATCTGTTCACAAGCTGTCAACAAGTTGTCTTCGCACTGCCTTCCCAGTTGTTGTAACAAGTTTGGTTTGGAACAAGCTGTTAACAATTTGTAACAAGCTTGATGGCATTATCAGATTCGTAGCAAAGTTATTCTAACAAGTCTGATACAGTTGTGATATATAACAAGAATGTTACAAGGTTGCCGACACATGGTTGTAACAATATTGTTATATCATGTCTGTATCGGACTTGTTGGAACAACCTTGCATGCAACAAGTCTGATATTATATCAACAAGGTTGTTACAAGTTGTTAACAATTTGTTCCAAACTTGTTGACACCTTGGGACAAGCAGTGCGAACACAACTTGTTGACGGCTGTTGGCAGACTTGCTACAAGATGTGAGATTTTTACGCGTATAGCTGCAATTGCAATACTTTGTCCACGTGGGACGATGCACCCTGTTCACTTTGATGCTCGTGGACGTAGGGTAGGAAAGTTCAACTATATAATTCAATATGAAATCTAACTTTCTTTGCGTGTCCACTATTACTCGCGTGACTCGAACAGGTCTCTCGTCCAGCGCGCAGACGAAGCGTAAAAGAAAACTAAATCCAGAACCTCGATCTTAATACGTTTATTTAGGGTAGCACAGAAAATTCTCGAGAAAATCTACATCGGATAGACTGTGCCATCAGTAGTGACGTTTATCAACAGTTTGTATACCCTTTGATGTTTGGGTGTTCAAAGTACGGATACGAGTATTTATATAGCCTTACGGCAAAGGAATAAAAGTGGTTTGCAAGAAATTATTTATTGATTTTTTACACATGTAAAAACGCGCAAAAGTTGTTCAGACTGCAAACAAAGTTGCAACAATGCCAACAAGGTTTTTGTGAAGCCGATATTGGGATGTGTTCGCATTCCTAGGCCTTGTTCCCAGTTGTTGTGACAAGTCTGGAGACGGTATTAATCCAACAGGCAACAACACCAAAACAGGCAAGGGCGTAGGAATCGGACGGCACAGGGGGCACGTGCCCCCCCCCCCCCCAATGTTTTCAAAGGATCAAAAGTGCCCTATTTTGTGATGAAAAGTTCCAAGCTAATGTCGCTGAAATTACTAAATGAACATCAAAGGTGTCCTTTTTGTTTGGAAATTTCGATGTTTTATAAAAGAATGTGGTCAAAAACGTGCAATTTCGGTATGGTAAGTATGACGTACGTTTTTCTCCCCCCTCCCCCCTTCCCGTCGCCAACGTTTCCGGGAAAAATGTTTTAGGTGCCCTTTTCAATATCCAAAGTGTTCCTGGAAGCCGGTGCCCCCCAATCTTGTGAAGTTTGCCGTTTTTCAGTCATTTTGCATTACAAACGGGAAATTGATAATCAGATGATCAAACTGGTTATCAATTTCCCGTTTGTAATGCAAAATGACTGAAAAACGGCAAACTTCGCAAGGCTACATTATCCGCATTTTACAACATTTCGCAACGAAACTTCGGAATATTACTAATTTTGTGATGCTCTTTCAAGCTGTGGTGAAATTTTTGTCCAGGCATATTTAGATCAAAATTTTACTCATAAGGGGAAAGGTCTATTAAGCTAGTAAAATGCAACACATGAGGCGGTTTCAAAAATAAAATTAATATGCAAACCACGATTCTATAGATACAAACCTAAAAGATCTGGTCGTCCTTGTTTGAAAGATTCATGTTTAAATATCAGCGGGATCTTGCCAGAGTTCTCCTTTACACGACGAAATCCATACATATTCAGCTGTCGAATAAAACTTGAAATATTTTTTGTTTTGAAAAGTTGTTTATCGCTAGCAACAAGAACTTTGGCGGTAAACTTTGCTGGATTCTCAATGACAACTTTCTCGCCATCCAGGCTCCATTGTATGGACGGAGTACATTCATCATTGACCAATGTCCAAAGTTTGTAGACAAATGAATTGATATTTTCCAAGGGTTTCTTTGCTGGTTTTCGTTCCACTTCACGTTTGGTTTTCTGTTTTCATAAAGAATAAAGAACAACTATAGCTTTTTGGCCTAGTTGGGAATTCGAGCATAAACAAAGTCAAATATAGTAATACACATTCGCTGTTCTTCTAAATTAATAAATTATAAATTTTGCAAGTGACTACATGGCCAGTTTTAATATATTGTCGAAGTTCCTGGTTTTACCAGGATCAGTCAAGCTACACGCTCCAGACAGGTGAACTCCCAGCTCCGAATCTCTGCCTGATCCTGCAGTCAGTCGCAGCATAGACATTCCTTTGAATGTCTATGGTCGCAGGAATCACAAAAACACAATGTCAGTTTTACAATATAGCATAGGCAGCCCTCATGCAACAGCCCATCATGCCAAATACACTGTTATTACTATGCATATCTATGTGCATACCTCATGCATGTACAGTATAATTGAAGCTAAAGCTGGCAACTTTTTGCCAATCAAAACACATTACCGTCGCGTGAAACTTTCAAGTTGAAACAAGAAACACATCGCAAATCTCTTTAAAAAAACTAGTACAGATCAAACACCCTGGGAATATTTTCTATAACTTTATTAAATATGCACAGATTTTAGAGTGGAAAGGAAGTATATACACTATGTATACTAATAATAAATTTATTCAACGTAGACTATATATTAAAATGTATATCCGTGAGAAATTCCCATTGCAGAAAGCTTGCATGCATGTCGGCTCAATGTTTGACTCAATGAAAATCTATTTAGCGTGCCATATTAAGTATAAAACATCAAAATTAATATTCCCTCGAATTCATGATCTCAGAAAATTCGTGAGAACTAATTTGAATGTCAATTTATTACTGTATAATGTAATTTTGTCCCCTCAAAACTGTTCTCAAGTTTGAAAACTGAAGAACATCGAAAATTAAAACGAGAATCTCGAGATATGTATGATATATTATACCCGCAATAAGCTTCAATTAGTTATGTATGAACATGCAGTACGTGTTCTCAATTCATCCATTTTTTAATTATGCCGGTATCAGATCGATGCCGCTTGTAAACTGAGTCTTTTTGGGCCGATGTGTTTTTAGCAACTGTTTCCAAAACTTCAGTTAGAACCGTTTCCTGCGAGTATTTGTATCCTGAAATACGAACATAACTAATACTACTGAAAAATCTTACCACTATGGGTTTCTTTTCTGCCATGGTAGATTATCGAAGCTACTTTCGGGATGTTGAAAACACTTTTTTGAACTTTTTTTTCCAGCTTTATTTAATACATGAACTTTAGAATCTGCTGAAGTTATTCCAAATATCACGACAGCAAACATGTGCGTAACTGCCACTTTGGATGATGGGACGTCAGTGCTTACGTCACACGTATCGACCAGTGAGCTCTATACATCTGGAGTAAGAACTTCAGTATTCGGCTTCAGTGAAAAGTAAAACTCCAATATGGCAATACACGCTTTCGGAAAGAACGTCACCACCCTGGCTATTGAGCCTCGTTTTCATGATTGAGACTTTGGGCTTTAGCTATTAAATGTCAGGTACATGAAAGGAAGCTCTATAGCTACAGTGACGAACTTTCCGGAAGGGTGCATTGGGATAACAGGCAATGGACGTTCAAAATCTATAATAACAAGACGCCTGCTCAGGCCGGTGTTCACAACTTCACACCAGGGCGCTTATATAGTTATATATAAGCGCCCTGGTTCACACTGACCTGAAAATGACGATATACGTGCTATGGTGCGGTGTCTGTAATATACCAACTCCCCAACCTGGCCGTATTAAATTACCGATTGGTGATAATTTATGTTAATATTATGTAATTTATGCTTTTACCGAACTTGTCAAAATGGTGGATTTGCTCCCTCGTTTGCTCCTTCAAAAGGAGCTTAGCAGCGACGAACGATTTAGCCATGTTCCTGTGGAAACGGCCGGAATTTTTTCCTCCAGCAAACCCGTCGAAAAGTGGGAATTATCTTGTCGACAAGAAGGCGGTTGGCATCGACTCGATTCACTGGAAACGTAATACAAGCTCGTGGCATACTACGAGCTTGACTGCTTGAGTATGCTTCATTGCTTCCAGTTGATGTCAACCGCCTTCTTGTCGACAAGGTAATTCCCACTTTCGACAGGTTTGCTGGAGGTTTTTCTCCGGCCATTTCCACGGGAACATTTGTGACTAAAAGCCTAAATCGTTCGTCGCTGCTAAGCTCCTTTTGAAGGAGCAAATCCGCCATTTTGACAAGTTCGGTAGAAGCTAGAGCACAGAATAAGGTACACAGAAGGCCGACTTCCTCGTTTTTCCTATGATTTTGGCGTAACCCGTAATTCGTCATCAAATGCTGACGCCATGGTCCTAGCCAGTGCGCGTTTGAGAGGCATTCACCCCAGGGACTTCGCTATAGGGGGGTGGGGGGTGGGGGGGGGTGTAACACCCCCCCCCCCCAATAATTCAAACGTTGGTCAAAGTTGGTCAAAATGGAACTGATATTTGCTCAAAGTTGGTCAAAATGGAACTGATATTTGCTTAAAATTCAAGGTAAGACTCGGAAAAATTTGGTAAAAGTTTGGGATATACGATGGTCGAAGATGTTAAAACATGACGACACCCCCCAATGTTGATGTCTTCGCGACGTCCCTGATTCACCCCCCTGATAATATTCAAAATGGCGGATGTCCAGGGGGGAATGCCTCTCAAACGCGCACTGGCTAGGACCATGGCGTCAGCATTTTGATGATGAATCA